GGAATATGGATATAGCCATTTACTGGATGATTGTTAACATGAGTGTTTACGCTATGGTAAAAGGGTAACCGTTGACAAACTCAAACTAAAAGTGTAGCCAGATGTACAAAATGTGGTTAAGTAATGGAAAGTCACTGAGGGTGGCTGTGATCAAAAGATAATAGTGTAACTTGAAACGACAAAAGACATGTGAAAACAAATCAAGTAGTATCTCTTGATAGAATACAAGTTTTAATGTAATAAAACTTTGTCTTAGATACATATATGACATTGCGTTAATTTTTTTTTAAACACTTTATTATCGTGTTGTTAGAGTACTCGAGGCTTTATTACATATTTTTAAAAGATTTCTTCTGTCCAGACAGTTCAATGGTACACATAAGATTTTTAATGATAATGATTGATGGTAACTTAAAGCATTTTACCGATAGAGGTCATGCATATACTATTAGTACAAGATAGTTGTTATTTCAAAGCATTTGGAAAAATTTCTACAGTTTTTCTAGTTTTACTGAAATTTATTACTTTGGGTAGATATAAAAATAATGATTAATTATTACAAAAGTGTTGGGATTTAATTCGAAAGAGTAGAAAATATGGATTATATCATGGGTGTATGTATATAAATACATAAGATAAAGCATAGAACAGAAAAAAATTACTTATGGAATGAAATGTTTTAGACCTAAATATAATGTATGAATTCATTTGATCTCATCAATATAGTTGGGCATTGAGATAATCACAAACTTTTCTCATTATCTTTGAATATGAATGTGACTTAGCATAGAGACGACTTTAATTTTTAGGTAGCACAACTACTTTTTATTATTATTATTTCAGTTACTTTTGATCAAAATTAGGGAAGTTTATTACATTCACTTCTTGATACGTGTTGGTCGATCCTCATTGTTTGATCTTTCAGTATTCAATTATGGCAAAAAAAAACTATAACAAAAAAAATATTCCGAAAAGTCAGTCAACGACAACAGCTGGAAATAATTTTGATGACAATGATAATAGCATGCTTAATCCAATCGTAAATGCTGCAGATGAAAATGAAAATGAATTCTTCGATAAGACGGATAAAGTTATGAAAAAACGAAAGGAACATTTAAATGATTTTTATCACAATGTAAAAAGAACAAAAGGTTAGTTTTACAAGTATTAAGAAACTATTAAATATTTATGAATAAATATGCTTAATGAAATTATTTCATTTCTAGTTGTTTCGAACATTGAAGATGATAATGAAGATGATACATTAGATGAATCAACAGAAAATCCAAATCATGAATTACCAAACAATGGCTTATCAAACAGTACAAAATCACGTGAAATCAATTATTCTTGTTCGAATGATTCAGCTGATTGTTCATCATCAAATGTTTCATTAACAACGTCTTCATATGGTCCACACTTCTCATCAACACCAAATAATACTGAAAAACGTCTTGAATTGAATAAGTCGATTTTATTGCATAACAAAAATCAATCTGATCAATCTTTAACTAACAAAAGGTCTAGTGAAATGATTGGTGAGAATAATTGTGATCGTTTTTCCTCTTCTTCTAAACATATGGACAAAAATACACTTGCAGCATCAGAGTAAGATATTTAAACTTCATTAATACGATTACTGAAATAACATTTATTAATTTACGGAATTTAGACAGATTGATAAGACACCTGCATCGACTAATAGAGGTTCAAAAAATCATCTAAAGTCAAATCAAAAGTGAGTTTGTTATTATACTTGTGATTTGTATAATTCACAAATAGTTCTTATCAATTCTCAACATCTATTCTACATTTTTTTATCGAACTAATGCATAACGTCGTTCTGAATATGCACCGTATCGAGCATTACAGTTCAATACGCTTTTCCATTAGTTTATCGTTAGAACAAAGATTTATTTTCTTTGTGAGATAGAATCTTGTTCAGTTTACTATGATTATATTAGGAGTAAGCTTTATAAATAAAAAATGACATCTGTGGTTAAATAAACAGTTTGAATACACTAGAGAAACGAAAGTATGACAGTTCATATTATAATCTGACCCTAAAAGTGTGTGAGAAAAGAAACTGTATGAGACTGAAAGAGAAAATCTATTGAAGGAGCATAAGAAAACAGTTCTACTTATTAATCATATTAAAGAATTTACAATTTTTAAGTATTCTTTTCAATAGAAAAATTCATGAGAAATACTTAACCAAGTATTGAAATTTAATTATTTCTATTTTTAGTTCTAATATCTTGTCTCAAACAACGTCAAATACAAAAGTACCATATATATCTCAAAGGTAACATCCTGATAATATATTTCTATGTATATCTTACTTTAAAAGCTTTAGTACAATTACATTGGAAACGTCAACAACAACCAATAAACATATGGATTATAACTCGAATCAGTGTAGCAACAAGTATGGATTTTTTTCTTAACTCTTCCTATCGTTTTTGATTTTTTCATATTTCAGTTTTATTATCGATCGATCGCTCATATGTTCTTCGACTATAAATAGTGCATCGACTATGAATCGATCATCAACAAATAATAATTTTCAATGGAAACCAATAGATATAAAAAACTCTATGGAATACCGAGATTTAGAAAAGAAAAACAAAGATTTGTTAAATAAAATTGATAATTTGAAAGAGGCTCTTTCAAAAGAACGGAAGGAGCGAAAAAAAATGAATGAAACACATATACGTAAGTTGTATTCATATGTGCCATAGATTAAATCGATCAACATAATAATCGTTATGTTTTTACGCACAGATTCTGCTATAACGTTACTAATCGTAAGAATATATTATAGAACAATACTGTATCGTAAACTCCTATACCCTTCTAGTCTCATTATATTCAAAAGGAGATAGATGTACCATATGAATGAAAACCTGATAGAGTTTTTAATGAATAAAATTGTATTGTAATCTACTCATTGAAATTTCGTTGTTGATCGTTTGTAACATTTTATCAAAGGGCAATGTTATTAGTCATTTTTATTATTGAAGATTTTTCAAATAATAATTCATTTCACTTTCGGTTTTTTTAGTCAAACCTCGTACATCATTTTGGAACGAATTATCGATTTTTATGGAGTCTCATGGTGATTCATATCAAGGAGATAGTCGTACTATTCATGAAATAGGACGCGAACTTGGTTTAACTGACAATATGATTCAATATGTGCAACGTGATACCGACAAGCCCGATAAGGTTGCTATGAACATATGGAGGAAGTTATGTCCAACAATTGAAGATAAAGTATTTGTGCGATCGATAAAGAGAGTTCCAACATCTACACTTGATAATATATACGGTAAATTCTTTTTAGTTTATTAACAAATAGAAAACTAAATATAGTGATTACTTTCTTTTTAATATTATTGATTTATTCGAGAAAACAATATTTTTAAAGACGATAAAAACTACTGATTTAACTATGAAAAAGATCTTATTCTGCTGTTTTTTCATTTCAGCATTTGCTCGTCTGTCTCATCCAAAAAGTAGTTTAGATTATAAAAAAATGCGAAACGACATAGCTGCTAATATCAGACAAGGCAATTTATCTCATCGAACACATGGAGCTTTACTGATGAATCAAAATTATAATGAAGAAAATGATGCTGATAATGATGATAATGATGGAGAAAATAATTCTGATAATGATGATGACGATGAAGAAAATGAATCGAATAGTCATGCGAACGATTTCCAATCACGTATACGAACAAGCGAAGTAGTTGATGATTCAAGTAACGACGAAGAAGAATAATTCTCATGTCTTTGGTATTGACATATAAGTGCTTTATTTATTGATTTTCTTTAATGATGTTTTTTCGATCAAGCACTTGTACTTTATTCATATTTAGTTTTATTTGCTTAGTTTTATTTACTTTACTTAATTCACAGTGATATTTTAGTGAAAAATCAAAGACATATTTTATGTTATTCTTCTTTTGCTTTTTATTTACAATAAAGTTCTTTTCTATGATTTACAATTACAAACATCAGATTTATGTAATAATTAAAACGTAATTATTATATGTCTAAACATCAGAGATTCATAAAATGACCCATTATTTGATTTACATATTTTTACAAAAAAAATAGATGAAATATTATGAAACAATGTGAAAGAAAGAATCGTTTTAGATGAGTGACGAAGATAATACTGAGATACAAATGATAGTAGATAAAAAATCTCGCTTTAGTCGTTATCGTACTCGAATTCGAGAAAGAAATCAGCTTGATATAATGGAAATGATGACAACTGATGATTTGAACGAAACACCGTACGTTTACTCATATTTTTTTCTACTGTTTATACTATAACATTTACTCTTAATAGAGAAGATGAAGCATGTGCCTTTGATCAACGGATGCTTCTCGATGATGGCATAACATCAACATTGAAACATGATGAATATAATCCAGCATCAGATTCAATTTTAAAGGAAGCAACTAAACAACATTCATCGGAAAGACATAATGATAATGATAATAATTATGAAGATGAAGTTGATGATTTGTATCGATTCTATAACGATCGTAATAATATAGGAGATGATAATGATGGAGATAAAGCTGATGATGATGAACATGATGAAGATGAATATGAAGATGAAGATGAAAGTGAAGATGATGGTATTGAGGAAAGTCCGGATTTTCAAAACAACTTCTATGACAATTATTTCGAAAATGAAAGATTGCCTGATGCTACTGAATTGTCTGTAATGTTATTTTTTACTTGGAAAAGACATAACATAAGTAAAGCTGCTGCAAATGACATATGTCGTATCATCAACATGTTCAATATTCCAAACATGCCCAAAGATTTTCGTGCAGTAATGAGACATTTAAAAAAAAATAATCCAACATTACTCGAAGGAAATCACTTTTTTATTTGTCCTTCATGCGGCAATAAATGTGGAAATGCTTCAAAATGTAATTTGACTAGATGTCAGTCATCGAATTCTCTTGTACGAACTCCAACATCAGTTGTCGTTTTTCCTTTAGCACCACAAATTTGTTCAATTCTTGAACGAGAAAGTCTTATCATGCCAACTTATGAATCAAATCAATGTGACGATTTATCAAACTCTCAACGTGCTCAGGAAGTAGCAAGAAAAGAAAAGCAAAATAATCCTGCCAGAAATAATGTAACTCTCACGTTGAACACTGACGGAGTCCTTCTAAAACGAATATCTCGATCGTTATGGATTACATGTGCTTGTATAAATGAGTTGCCTCGAAAAAAACGTTACGATATCAACAATATTCTAATATGTTCTATATCTACTGGAGATGAAAAACCGAAGAAAGATGAATATTCAACAATATTACAAGATATTGTGAATGAGTTAAAATTTCTTGAACAAGTTGGTTTTGATGTTTTACTTCCATCAACTGTCAAAACTCATAATAGAACTTACACACATTTCCATGCTTTCACTATTGCAGCAGTGTGCGATAAACCCGCACAAGCAATCATGATGAATATTAAAGATCCTACAGGATTCTTCAGCTGTGGTTGGTGTTGTATACCAGGTTAGCAGTATAATCTTTTGATCAAGTTTAGATTTTTGTTAACTGTCTTTTTTTTTAATGTAATATCCATTTCTCAAATTATTCATACTTGTATATATAGGTGAAACTCACTCATCCAACTCACGATGCTTTGTTAACAATAGTAGAACCCCTGCAATGCTTCGAAATAACATGACATATGATCATTTTATGAAGATTTTAAATACGGTGGAAAGCCTCATCCGACTACTTATTTCTTACTTTTTTTTATCTATATTTCTCTTTTAGAATTATGTAGCAAAAGATCCATCAAAAGATAGAGCATGCGGGCATGCAGGTCCTTGTGCTTTACGTCAATTAACTTATTTTGAAATTGGCAACAGTTTTTGTTTTGATTCTCTACATGGTTTATATGCTGGAGTATTCGTAAGAAAATGAAGAATTTTGCCAAAAGAAAATGTTTTCTTATTTATCATTATAGAAAAAGTTAATGCATTTATGGCTGGATGCAGTTAGAGTAGATTATTCAATTAAGAAACAATTTTCTTGCTTGGAGGAATTACTGAAATGTATCCGTTATCCAACTACCAATAGATTACCACGTGCATTAAAGTATTACACAACGTGGAAGGCTAATGAATTTAGAATGACATTACTTTTTGGATATAAGTATGTATGATCTATGTTCAAATATTCATTAAAAGAAAAAATTTCCATGTGATAGATCATTTGAACAAGTGATGAAAAAGAAATATTATGAACACTTTCGATTATTAGTCTATGCTGCTATTTTCTCGGAAACAAGAATATTAACAACTACTCGTTTGGATCAAATCAAGCATCTTTTAAATAAATTTCTTGATGAGTTTCCTGTGTTATACGGAGTTCGGATATTGATTATCAACCTCCTATAGTATTTGACTATCTCCTCTCATATTTTGTAGGCGTCTAATTGTGTATCGATTGTGCATTCGCTCTCACACATTCATCAATCCTTAGTCAAATTTGGTCCTATTCATAATTACAGCACTTTCAACTTTGAAAGTACAGTCGGTACGTACAGGTTACCCGTTGCAACCTATGCATCATTTAAAACTGTTTGTAGTTATTTTTGAAAACATATATTGCTAAATATTTAAGAGTAATATTGATTATTTTACTGACCATTGCTCTTTTTTATTAGGATCATTTGTAAAATCTATACATGGACCGTCTTTTATCTTCAAACAATTGATCAACAATTTCGAGCATCTATCTTATGCAACAACTATTTTTAAAAATCCTGCTTTCCATCCAAAAACTGCATTATTGATCCATCAAATATTTTCATCTAAGCGACGTGCTATACCAACATCTCTAATGTTACACAATGTCGTTTGTTTATCTCGTTCAACAGTTTCTGCATTTCCTCATGTCACTGAATATCTCGAAAACATATACGCAAAAGATCAATACACTCATCATTCAACATGCTTTGATCGAAATGTGACTTTCACAGTTCAGCATTCAACTCATAAACAAGTGGATAACTCGGCTGTTATATATTTCGATCATTTCAATAATCTTCATATCGGAATAATTATTGGTATAATACAATTAAAAACAACTAAAGATATCATATTCATCATTGATCAAGCAGAAATTATAGGTTTTGATACATTTTCTCTTGATCGAATTGAATATGTTAATGACTTTCTTGTTTATGCTAAACATTCAAATCCACCCACCGTTGTTTCAATCAATTACAAATCAATTAAAGAAAAAGTTGCGTACCGGAAAGATCCAAAAGTGAAAACATCGACTGAGTTTTATATATTTCCCAATTTAGTAGAGGACACCTGAGTTTTTTTCAAAAACATCTTTATAAACTATTTCCAATACTAAAACGTTTGCATTCTACTTTTTTGTTATTACTACACAATCACATGTTTCTTGTCAAACTTTATCTTTATCCAATACAACTTACTTTCTTTCCCAAATTATTAAAAAAAACCGTCTTACTCTACTGCTCATCAACCTTTTACAGAGCAATAATAATTTCTCAAGCTGCCAAAAAAAGATTACACTTTCTGACGATCAATAAATTTTCGCAATTTCTTTAAGATATAAAACTTAATTAAACTTTCCTCACAAGGTATAAACACATTCATAATTCA